TCGTTAGGGAAGCAGACCTTTCGAAAGATGGCGAGATAAATTTCTCTCTCAGTTTCTCTTCGATATCTAGCACTAGTCGGCAAAGTCGGCTCGTCTTTCGCAAGTGGCGGCGTGGGAACTCGCGTGCGTGCCCACGCGCGCGCGCGCGTGCGTGCGATTCGCGTTTTTCCGGCCAAGAGATAGATAGATAGATAGATAGATAGACGGACAGAGAGAGAGAGAGAGAGAGAGAGAGAGAGAGAGAGAGAGAGGGAGATACGCCTCCGCTCTACCGGATATCTATTCGTTAATAAGCAACGTAAACCGATGCTCGCGTCGTAAAGAACGGATACCGTCATCGTCGTCGCCGCCGCCGCCGCAGTTAATCATCGTCGCGAAGATTTCCGAGTAAGGCGATCGAATCGCCGGCGGTTGAATCGACTCCTCCAAGATATCGATGTTCCACGATCCGATTCGCGAGACGTCATTAATAAAATTGTTGCACGAGCGGGAGGAAGGTGTGTGTCAGTTCATAATATCGTTATTTCGAGTAGCGTGTGCATATGCACATATAAACTATCGCAAACATCAATTATTTTTGAAAATGAGCATAAGAGAACGCACTCCAATGTTTGGCAAATATTGGAGAAATTACAGATTATGGCCATCTTAGCCGAGTTTACTCTAAAAAATGTTATAGTCCCGCTTCATCTCTTCGCGATTCATTAAATCGCAGCGAAACACGACGATCGCGAGAGGCCGCGAAGTAACCGAGTAACGTTTTCGGGGAAGTAAGGCAGGTGCTTCCGGTGGGTATCGACGGAAACAAACAAGCGTGGATTCCGCGATTACCATAAACGGACAATGCGAGATCGCGGGCCCTCGGAGTGAGTGAGTGAGTGAGTGAGTGAGTGAGTGAGTGAGTGAGTGAGTGAGTGAGTGAGTGAGTGAGTGAGCGAGCGAGCGAGCGAGAGTACGCTCGTGCGCTCGCCGGAAACTCTTTTTCCGCGCCGGAACCTTTCCAGGTCGGCAGCCGGGGCGTTTTTCGTTCTCACCCGCGACCGCTCGCTCGCCTCCGATTTTCCTCGTGCGATTTCCCGTGCCGCGTGCTTTCGAGTGAAACGTGGGAGGGCAATAACGCGCAAAGTGATGCAACCGACGCGTGCATCGCCGATTAGAGACCCAAGCCACCGTTCGCGCGCTCTCGGTACGTGCATACACGCGGTCGCGGTTTCTTGCGAAGATTTATCGAAGAGACGTACACATCCGCCGGCATGTATCTCACACGTCGACGCTCAGCGACTTTTATCTTCGCCTTCGCGTCGCGCACGAGATTCGATTCTAGTCCCGTCGAAATGCCGGCGACGGAGCGCCCCCCGCTAGTGGTGGGTATTCATTTCCAATCGCGATCGTTCGACCCGCCGACGTCGCGTCGAAAGACATCCGAGTATTAACACTCCGAGTATTAACCTCGACAATAAGTGGCGTGCTGTTGTTAATGGATTAAAAAGAGTGGGCCGGCGGGGTGATGGCGGAGGTAACATTAATCGCTGGAAAAAGCCGCGCTTTCGCGCGGATTAGTTTCTTCATCGGCGTCCGGTCGAGCGGCCAGTCGCGTTAGATATCGCGATTGTATTTAAATCGCGAAACGCGAGATATAATACACAAGTGCGACAAGCTCGGCGATCAATGACGAGGAGCATCGTCCTCGACGATGGAATTAACGTCTCGTCCCCAAACGATTCCAAACGGGACGCGCAACGGCAAGATTCGCCGCGTATCCTGAAAGGCAGAGAGTCAGGTTTCCTGACGCGGGATGAGGACAAAGGGGAGACGCGCGAAATTAGTTTGCGGCCGTTTGCGAACTTGGATCAAACCGTCAAACTCGAACGACGTAACTGGCCGCGCGCAATTAAAGCCTCCGCGTAATCCGAGAGCTCCGCTAAAACTCGACGTTTTCCCACGCCCGAGTCCCGCCGATTGCCGATGGAGCTGCGCGACAGCTGAGCTCTCCAACACGCCGCCGTGAGTTTCCTTCACCTGCACCTGCACACACACGCAGACCCGCCGCTTTCGAGGACTCCAACACGACTCCTCGAGAAGAGTCTGATTCCGGAGCGAGAAGAATATCCTCGCGACCTCGTGTGTCCTCGTGTCGCGTCGTCAAAGACAACGAAGAGAGAACAGAAAGGAGAGAAGAAGAGCGCGACGAGCCCCTCGAGAAACGGGAATCAATTGGAAAATAAAGACATCAATCTTGGCGCGCGCCGCATTTTCGCGCGCTCGATATCCGGCGATCTTATCGCAAAGCGATAACTCGCCCGAGCGATATAATAATGAGACCCACCGTCGCGTCCGTATCGTTTTTTTTTTTTTTCGACGCGTACGAGCGGACGCGCGATCGTCGAATACGACCGTCTCTCGCATGCGCGGATCCCCCCTCTCTCTCTCTCTCTCTCTCTCTCTCTCTCTCTCTCTCGTGCGTTACGTTACGTGAGTATCCCGCGCGCTGAAAACGTGCGTTTAACGCGCGTAATCGAGCCCCCACGCCGCTGTTGTTCCCTCCTGCCGCCCCCGAGCGACTCGTGTCGTCGCCGGCGGTGCAACGGATGCAACCGCCTATGCGCCTCCACCGTAAATCAAATCGACCATGATCGAACTGGCGAACTGGGGAGGAGAGGCAGGGGCCGACGATTTCATCGTGCGCACACGCACGTGCTCCGCATTTTTCTCTTTAAGCGCGACCTACGCGCTTAAAGAGAATCCGCGTGCTCTCGTTGAGAGAGAGAGAGAGAGAGAGAGAGAGAGAGAGAGAGAGAGAGAGAGAGAGAGGAGAGAGACCCTCGAGCAGCGTTTCCTCGCGGTTGACGAGAGCGAATCGAGTATGATAATCACGTTGAGGCGCGAGACGCGCGTCCCTCCTCCTTCCACGTTCTCTCTCGGTCTCGTGTCTCTGCGGACACGACGACGTGCGGGCACGGTTACGAGGAAGTTATGGTTATCGGGTAACACACGCGATGGACGACGGCGCATGGGTGCACGGGCGGCTGCGGCGTCTCCGCCGTCGCCGCAGCCGCTAATGGTGCACTATCGACGTATCAATGGCGCTGCGGCGTGCGCATTAATAATCCACGTGATTACCATCGAGCAAGCTCATCCCGAGCGCACTATGGGACACCCGTCCGTCCCGGATGGAAATCGTCTCTCCTTCCCCACCTGGCTCGGTCGGGGACTGTAGCGTTTGATCAAGCGGAACTATAATCCGGAACCATTGCTTCGATAAGCAATTAAAAATTACTCACGCTCTGTGCACTGTAATTAGGCACGCGCACTAGGCCGCTAACAAACCGCGCTCCGCGCTCCGTTCGTACGCGCGAAACGCCGCGTCGCGACTACGTCGTTCGTGTCATCGCGCGTTTATTATTTATCACGCGTTCTATGAATTGGAATCAATCGGAGGGAGCCGCGCGGCCGCGCACGCGTAATGTAACGAAATGTAACGAAGAAATATAATTGATAACGACGATAATACGGTGACGGTGATCGCGATGCAAACGTGATAACTACGGCAATTAGTTGGCAACATCGTTGGCCGTAACGCAGCAACCCCCCCCCACACGCCTACCTACCTACCTACCTACCTACCTATCTACCTACCTACCTGCCTGCGGTCGGTGATTTCCGCGCGCGGGTTGCGCGCGCGACCTAATCGAGGGGTTCCTTAATTAGAAATTAGGCGGCCGCGTTGCACGGGCGCGCCCAAGTTTCGGCGGCGCCGAATGAATTTTTCATGCGGATGAAATTAGAATCGATCGAGCCGCGCGGCGGCTGCTCGCAAAAGCTCGAATTAAATCGCGGGGGCGAGTGGCGCGGCGAATAGGTGGGAGGGGAGCGAAAAGTCCGATGGCCGCTGGTGGCCGGCAGCGGTGGCGGTCCATCGATGGATTTTCCGCGGCCGCGCAATTTGCCGGCGATTATTTATTTGCCGGCGCAATTAATGTCGCTCGCGCGAACTACGAGAAAATTTATCGATCTACGCGTAGCTCCGACCGCGTAGCTTTGTCTATTAACTTCTTCATTTGTTTGTCCGCTTATTGATGGATTTATGGTACTGTTCATTGGCTTGTTTATCCGTTTGCTTATTCATGGATTCATCCACGCCGGTTGTTACTCGCCGGTTATCTATCTGTTTGCTTCTTGTCGGCTCAATAGCCGATTGCCGATTGCCGACCGCCGACCGACTGATTAATTAATTTCCAATTGTTCATTTCGCTCGTGTAAGCACGCGCGCGCGCGCGCGAGATCCTCTCTGGCGGAACGCGAGCCGGGACAAAAGGAAAAGGAAAAGGACGGCAAGCGGAAGAGAGAAAGGAGACGAGCGCGGGGCATAATAGCTGCGCGATTACTAATGATGATTTACTTAAGTAGTTACAAAGAGGACGATGGTGGGAGACTCGCGCGTGCGAGCCTCGAGCCTCGTGCGGGGCCCGAGGTGCGACAGTGGTTCGCCGGAAAGGGAAAGGGCGCAGCAGACGGCGAGAGAAAGAGGGACCTAAGAGGGGAAGGGCTGATTTATCGTGTTGCCTCGATCGAGATTAACTCTCGCCAGCGATCCCGTTCGCTTAAGGACCCGCCGATTGATCGACCGGCCGATCGATCGATCGATCGATCGATCGATCGATCGATCGCGGCGGCCACTTCGGCCATGGCGCCTACCTACGATGGAGACGACTCGTCCTGCCTGCTGCAACGACTTCCTGCTACGTTCGCCGTCGACCGGAAAATTATCTCGTAATGACTAAGCGACTACACGAAGGACTCGTGTGAAATGATCTGAAAAACGGAGAATTGCGCGCGCGCGCGCACACACACAGGTTTCACGACGGATTCACGACAGATTATACACACGTTACGTCCGATCGTTCGATGCAAGAGGAAATCCACCTGCGCGGGATTTCAATCGCGAAAAATTCGTTTCGCCTCGCCTGAGAGGCCTCGTGCGAGTATTTAGAAAAGGATACATCTCCTGGAAGAAGTCCAAATGCGGCGGTTGCAGAATGTCCAGCGCGGAAAGGACCTGCGAAGAAAAAGAGACAGCAAGAGATTGAGGGCCTCGTCCTTGGACCGGACGAGAGAGAGAGAGAGAGAGAGAGAGAGAGAGAGAGAGAGAGAGAGAGAGAGAGAGAGAAAGAGAGAGAGAGAGAGACGGAGAAACGCGAGATCGATCCTCGCTTCGCGCGCGCAAGAGAAAAGCGCATCGTGTCCTCGGGGAAATAAAACTCGCGGAAACTTTCGATACGTCCGCTGCGCGACTTTTAAGGATCTATCGGGGATACTGTCGAGTATTCAACGCGAAACGGTATACCGGCTATTTTCAATCGAGATGATCAAACCGTGAGCGTATAACGAGACCACCGCGCGTTTTTGAGTTTTGCGTTCGACATTGTGCACAAACTATTGTTCTACCTTGATACTACAAGTGACCATACTTACTGTCGTTTTTTCCACGTTGAGAGCCTTTCAAGAAAAACTCATTTTACAAGATTTTAGTGTTCGATTATCTCGATATACACCCTATCCGCATTCAATATTTATTCTTAACTTGAATAATTGTGTGGCTCATTTAACACGTAGACACGTAGACGAAAAGTCGTGGCGGAAATGAAAAAATATCTCCTATATTCGACTCGATTTCGAAACATCCGGTTAAGTGGTGGTGGTGGTGGTACATCCGTTACACATCCGGATATCGACGGTGGTGATAATGATCGACTACTCACGTTATCGTGTTTGAAGAAACAGAGCATCTTCAGCTCCCTGAAGACTCGCTTGCTGCTCACGAGACTTTGAAAGACGTTCGGCAGTTTTTTTAAGGCTACTCTCCTGCCATCCCTCGGATCCGTGACGGCCCTGAAAAATCACAGAAACGAAACTAATCAATAATTTGACCTGATGACCGGCACCAATCGTCGCAAACGCATCACGTGTGTGACGTAAACGATGCGGAATATCGAGTTTCCTCAAGCGCATTCAAAGAGAAGGTTCAAAGAGTATCACATTAGGATTTAAAACAATGTTACACCCAGTCTTGCCGAAAGTTCTTTTACAAATTACAAACAGGGGTCGTAGTCTTTTTAAAGAGGAGGGAGGAGGGATCGATCTCGATTTTAATTTCGCCGCAATCAAGAGCGATGGTGTGGAGAAGAGGATAGATATCCGAGCGATTGGCTAAATAATGTCCGGGGGCCCCACGTCGATGATAACCCTGGAAATACGAGCAGACGACAACGTAACTATACCCCCCCCCCTGAAACCCCACAAGCCTCCCACAGACCTCGATCAGCTCCGGGAATAATTATTATCCCTGCAATTAGTTCGTTTACGGCGGGTTCGATTTCATTGTCGAGCGAGTTGTCGTTACCGCAAACCGACGATTCCTATTCACGAGAATGTCGCAGCGAGCGGCAGAGAGAGAGAGAGAGAGAGAGAGAGAGAGAGAGAGAGAGAGAGAGAGAGAGATTTCAACGCGACCGAAATCCCATTTTCGGTCATCGCCCATATCGCTATCTAGCCAGACAGATAAAGTAATTCCAGTTTTTTGAGAAGGGGAAGAGAGAACGAAACACAGCAGGGGGACGAAAATGACTTTTCGATCCACGACGATAGCGCGATAGAAATAGCATGGAGAAATAGCGATCAAAGCGCACGTACATACGTACACACACACGCGCGCGCATATGTGTATCTCTAGAAATATTATTAAATTTAAATATTTATTTATTCAAATCAACTTTGTGACCGATGCTACCAGATAAGTGACACGTTACGTATCTAATCGCGCCAAAGTTCTAGTTTCCTTACGGCCCACTAAATCGATTCATTCGCGCGAGATAGTCAAAAAGGGGTCCATTATCTCGAGTGTCGTCCCTTCGAATCTCAATTCATGTGCCGTTCCGTTGCGCGTTCTCAACGGCCAATGTTCCAACCTCCGTTGGAAGTTGACCTGTGCTTTTGTATCTCTTGCTTCCGACTGACTCGATCCGTGAAAATGAAAAAGCAGAGTACTCCGCGAATACTTTTTTTTATATTCTCTACAAGTGGACGACAAGTTTGATATTCTCGCTAATGAAAGTTAGCGTTAAAAATTGCGAAATTTCTCCGCAAAGGCAGGAAAGGAGGAACATTCGAAGATTTCCTCGAGGAAATTATTTTCGACTCGATTCATCTCGAGAATTAGAGCCCGAAGACGTTAATTACATCATCGGACTTCTCTCACAAGAGGTCTGATCGCGAGAGAAATAAAGAGTGAAGAAGAAGGGGGAAAAAGAGGTGAACGAGCCGTCGCGAACCGGCAAGAGATTAAGGTCGATCCGACGAACGAGCGAGTCACGAACGTAGAAAGGTACGACGACCTTCGAAAAGGGTCAACGCACCCGTCGTTGCCGTCGAGCATAAGCGGAAGTAAAGTCACGAATTTCGAAGCGGAACGACCGTGAAATGATGCGCCGAGCGCAGGGACACGAGGGGAAGGAGAGGGAGGAGGAGGAGGAGGAGGAACGCGCACCCGGGAGCCTACTCTCGCGGTTTCGACAATGTTTATTCATTCGAAATCCCGGCGAACCGACGGGCTTCTGTGCGCACACACACTCGCCGGAAGTTCAAGAGGTTATTGCCGAAACGAGGCACGTCCAGCTTTGGTGAGAAACGACGAGCTGCCGATAAAAGCGGATGTTCGTACGAACAGGTGTGTGTGTGTGTGTGTGTGTGTGTGTCACAACCGCCGGCCGGTTACTTCGCAACACTTCTGCCGCGAGAGAAAATCGACTCCGCGGCGGAGCATATTCTAATTCCGAGCGTACATCTCTCCCGCGCGCGCGCGGTGACGTAACGTGAAGCGCGTCGGAACGGAACGGATGTTGCCGCTGATCGATGTGTCAGGAGCGCGAGTTACACGGTCGTGTTTACCGCGAGTTTTCCACGATGACGTGTCTGGGCCCTGGGGCCACGGCAAAAGCCGTCACGCGCGCGCGCGCGCCTTTTGGAAATCAAATTTACATATACACGTTGCATGGTTTTTCCCGCCGCGAGGTTTCCCCCGCCGGAGCGGTCTTTCCCGCTTCCTCCCTGAGGGATCGGTTTATAACGGCCGATAACGCAGCCAACGACTTTGTTCCTGATTAGACGCGCGAGGCGCCCGCTTCTCGTGCGTCACCTCTCGTCGAGGACTTCCTATTTTTGAGAGAGAGAGAGAGCTCTTTGTGAAACGAGCAGCGCGGGGTCGTCGAACGAGCGAGTCGCGAGTGTGATTCACCTGCTAGGCGGGCACTTTTCAAAGTATCGCCGCCGCGCCGTCGCGGAGCCTTTTTGTTCGGAGCCGGGCACAGCCCGTACGATTGTTCGCGTACGATCTTTCGCAAACCGCGACGCGGTTATCGCGAGCGATAATACACACAGCGCCTTTGTCGTGCGCCGCACAATGATCTTCTTTCTCTGTTCTTCCTTCGTCTCATCGCAATTTTCTCCGATCGGTGAAGAAAAAGCGGTCGGAATAAATCCCTCGCTCTTGTCGTGCATTCGTGTATCGCGGAATCTGTCATTAAAATTTGAAACCGCGAGCTGCGGAACATCCTGCACGCGCGAAACCGGTCTTCGCGAGTGTGAATGCACTCGGAAAAGCGCATCAAAGCCGAAATACGCAGCGTTACGCTCGGCCGATATCGAGTCGTTTTTATCTCATCAGCCACGACCTCTTACGCAAACAAAATGAAAAATAGAATCGCGGCTCGGCTGGCGCGCGCGCGCGCGATCAAATAAATTAGTTTGCCCCGCGAGAGAGATGGAGATGGAGATGGAGATGCAGAGAGAGAGAGAGAGAGAGAAATCTCCCGAGTCTGAATATTTCATTCCGCGGTGGATTCTCCATCCAGCGTACGCTCTAAACGGCATTAACGCGGATTTAAGCACCGCGCGCGCCGATTCCGCATCGTGCATCGTGGAAATATCGCCGGACGCTCGATCGCGGAAACGCGATGGCGAAAATTGCCGTCAATCGTCGGTCGAGTCGAAACGGAAACCGCGTCGACGTTGAAAAGAACGCGACAAAGAACTCCCGAGCAAACCGGGAGAAAGTGCGCGCGAGTTCTGGTGCGTCCTGTCCTGTCCTGCATTTAAAAGGCGGCAGATGTTCCGCAGGGGGGCTCGAAAACCGGGCCCGAACGCGATCCCCACGCGCCACGTGGCGCTCCGAGACAGACGGTGAACGGGCCCCACTTTTATACCCGATACGTACAAGGTGTTCCGAAATTCAGCAAGTATAACGTGCATCGGCCACGATGCCGACATCTGTCGATGTCTGATTTGACATTTCACGAAAACACGAGGCGTGCGCGCCTCGAAACCTGTCGAGTGGCGAGTCCCTTCGCGAGCGAAGGGTTATTATCCTCCTGCCCGAGCTTGGCCGTTTTCAATCTGCACCGGGCGTTTCTTCTGCGCCCAATCCAAAATCTTATTTCTCGCGTTGAAAAGTCCCTGGAGTGTTCCCTAGGACTCGTCGTAGGTAGGCAGGGAGAGAGAGAGAGAGAGAGAGAGAGAGAGAGAGAGAGAGAGAGAGAGAGAGAGAGAGAGAGAGAGAGAGAGAGAGAGCGACAAAAGAGCGACATTGCGCTACTTTCGGGACACTCTGTATAGAAGGGACGCGAAAGAAGGACCTTCCGTCCGTCAATCTAACACCTGGCACCTGCTGCTGACCCCCCCGTCTTTTCGAAACTGCGGTCGACTTTGCCGCGGAATAGCGGCAACAACAACAGCGCGATTCTGCGGGTGCGGGGAAGAAGTGTCTCGTCGCGTCGCGTCGACGGTGCGCGAAACACATTTCTCAAAAGATTCGCGTAGCTGTAATTTGCGCTCGCCGACCGAACGCCGGCCACTTGTAATTACATCCGCGGGTGTTTCCTGAAGAAAGCTCGTGTGCGACGTCGCGACGCGCGAGCGCGAGCGCGTCGTTCCGACGAAACGGCGTCTTCAAAGGGAAATTGGCGCCGATAGAAGCATCGTGTGTATGTACGTCTACCGTGCGTCGCCGAGGATAAAAATATAAAAGAAGATTGAAGGATTCGCGCGAGGGCGATAACAGGATGCTTCCCGTTGGAAAAGACGTGCCTGCGCGCTGTTATCTGCCGCGTTATCGCGCCTCGGGAGGAGAAGATTGTCGCGGAGGAGTCGGAGAAGGTGGAGGCTTGTCTCCGCGGGAGAAAAACGCGGGCGAATCTAAAGAATCGGAATAAGACCGACGCGTCGGAATACGAAGAACGCTATTTTCAAGTCGGCATGTTACGTCAAGATTACGTCCCGCGCGGATCAGCCGAGTTCCGCGCCGACTGCAGCGCGACAGGCTAAATAGGAACGTGGCTCTCGCAAAGCCCTCTTGAACTCACGTTACGCTTTTCGCAAACGATCCCGGGAGTTACCAAAGCGGCGGCGGCGACGGCTGCTGCTGCTGTCTCTGTGCAAACTTTAAACGGCGAAGGAAATAAGAAAAGAAAGAAAAAAAAACTCGTGAAAGAGACGTACGCGAGCGCGCACGCGCTCTGCCTTCCTCCGCTCCTCCTCGGCTTCGAGGTCGTTCCTCCTCCTCCTCGCGAGCCGCTCATTATGCCCAGACCCGCCGCCGAATGTTATTATTTCAAAGCAGCGGCGGGGACGGAAGGGGAGGAGGAAGGCGCGAGCATCCGTTGTACGCGCGACAGGTAAAAAGCGAGCGCAAGAAAGGCGAAACGAAGGGAAGAAGATGATCGATTTCTCGCACGCATACACAAAGTCTCGATCCTTTCGCGCGCGAAAACAATTGCTCGCGGAGGGACGCGACAGACATTTCGCCAGAGCTCGCGCGATTGTTGACCCGGGCGAGCGAG